TACAGCGAAAGCCATCATGCCATCACTATCATATTTAACCGAAGTCCCCTTTTCACATTAAAACTTAGTTGATTACAAAGATTTTTTGCTAGTTAGTGTCTTAGCTAACGATAATGAGCGAAACTTAAAGCCAACTGCTAAAGTGTCGTCATATATTCCCCTTAACTGCTCACTAACTCTACAACTTTCATATAAATTATTTGCAGAGCAGATTAGTTTCATGTTGATTTTTCCCCAAGTTTCTACGATGCATTTGCTAGTATTAACGTCAAATGGAAATTCAACATTTGTACGATTTTAATGACGTTGGTACCTATTTTACAAAACTTGCGTCGAAATAACAGAAAATTAAATTTCATTCTTTTTTCTAGCAAGCGAGTCTATTTGGACCAGCCCGCATCACACCTATTCAATATTTGTTTTACACTTGCGATAATCATGCCACGGTTTATGAGCAGTCGCAATAGAGTCCATTTTTACATTAAACGAGCTGCAAAATAAAGTTTGTACGGTCACTGGAACTAAAATGGCGGTTCATTGCGCGGAAGTCGCTAATTCGTCCTGCCGCAAAGTGCTGCAGCTTAAGTTTTTAAACTGCTCTTGATATTATATTTTATTCTTATTCTCTTTTAGGTTCTGTGTTATACATTGTAGCTGCCCGTTATGGCTTTGTGAGGATAAACAAGATGTATGATAGACATTGTTGTTATGAAATATCTGGGACACTGGGTGAAATGTTGGGTAGTTACGACTTATCATAAAACAGAATTTCTGCTACAGTTGTGTTGAATAAAAATCCTTGTGTATTTTATGATAGAACAATGTTTTAAGCAATAAATAAAGAATATTGTGTGTCTCTTCTGAAATATAGTTTACAATGTTGGGTATACGTTTTCAGAGGGGCTTCAAAATTTCCCATACAACTGACAACTATTACCATAGGTACAGGAATCATATACCATAGTCGAATTCTGTCTCTGTCGGTCCTAGCACTTGTATAAAATTCGTATGACAATTTAAAAACTTTTCGACATAGTCTTTTGGATCGATAAAAGTATGGATTCTGTTAATAATGCATTAATTTAACCATTAATTACTGTTTGATAACAGTCTTGACATTTACAAGACCGTAATTATGGTGGCTTGTACCTTTCACTCAGAGCACTGAGTCCCAGTTGTGGGAATAATGTCTATAGACAAATTTAATTAATATTATTACGAGTTGAAAGAGGTCACAATGGAGGTTCCTTTGAGGAACTTCCACTTGCATTATACTCGTAATAAAACATGTGTAATATTTTATTACGTTTACGAAAATACATAACGTCAAATCAGTGCAACTTTTAAAATGTACCGAAATTAGAAACTACTTAGACAATCAGAACAGGATTTTTTTGGTTATGTAAAGTACAATAATTTGTTTTGCTTTGTAAGAATGGGATAAAATTATAAGTTTACTTTAATCTTTGGCATTATTTTTACCTAATTAGTCATTAGAATATCTAACAGTCTAAATTAGGACGTTAAATAAGGTTAAAGTCAGAAGTTTTTCATTCGTCTGTTTTATAATTAGTTACGTACTTTCCCAGGTTAATATTTAAAACGAATTGGTAATTTAAACATGGCGTAATTTGAATAGATCTGTATTCTGATATGTATCGCGCATTTTTAATTAAATCGACATTACTTTAATGAATAATTTTCCTAGTAATACTGTTGTGTCAGATACTATGGTGACTCATGGTAAAACGTAAAAACATTAACATTATTTAAATTAGCCGTAGTCCCCGTAGTATCAAGCACTGCAGCTATTTTAGTCATGACATTAAAAATATCTTATTGTTCGAATTATGTTATCTATATTAACTGGAAATATATTTTTAGTAGAAGATATGTTTTCGAACATATTTGTATCTATCTACCCATATTATTGTTAATGATACAAACGAAAGCTAGATACTATGAAAATTGTTTTTTTTTGCGTAGATACTTGAAAGAGCGAACAACGGAGTTCTATCAGAGTACCCAAAAAGAAAGGTAAATGATAAATGGCTTGAAAAAATTGAAAACTCCTTTGGTATTTTAGGGCGAGTTTGCAAAGTAACTGTTATTTTATCAAAGCAGACCTAACAGGATAAAAATTACTGAAATAAAGGGACATAAAAGATAAACGTTGTAACTTTTTTATTGAAATATGTTACCGCGAGACCCTCCCATTTCAAGTTGAGTCCTTGAAGAGATTATGTGAAAAGTTACACACCTCCATTTTCGAACCCGTTTAAAAAACTCTTCTATAATAAATTATCACTTTATTCTAACTTTTTATAGCCTCTTCTGCAACTCACGTTAGGATAATAGGGGGTTTTGATTCTACCCTACTTTCCTGAAATTTTTGCCGTAGACAAGTGAGTCTTACTTACCATATTTATATAGGCAAAATGTTGGTAATTGGGCTTAATAAACAGTTAACCGAGTGTCGATTTTTGATATAGTACCAACCGATATTCGATGTATTTTCACAGCTTTTAGGAGCTCATTGAAGTGAAAGTTTGTTTAATCGACATCGTTTGGCGCTAAGTCTTATTAACTTGATGTAGAAGCAGGTATTTATTTACTTTTGGGATTGCTAGATCTAAATGTTTGTTTTTCGACTGTCACATCTCATACTTGTTTTTAAAACAGAAAAAAAGAAAAAAACATTTATTACGCCACGACACACATCAAGAATACAGGTACACTCAAAAAGCCCATGGTGGGTCGCAGCGCAAAAGGCTGGAGCTCAGAGGCCTTAGTACGAGTTTGTTTTACGTTTAAAGTATTCGAAACGAGTAGGTACCCGTTCGGCGCTCTGATTGGTTGGTTCATTGGTGCGGGCCAATTAGAGCGCCAAACGCGTACTCGTTTCGAATACTTTAAACTTAATTCAAACTCGTACTAAGGCGTCAGCTTAATACTATGGCCCGAGCACGAAGGCTCGAGTCCACGGCGCTGATTTTCAGCACCAGCCCGTAATAGTCCGTACTAATTATACAGGTCCTCCTGTTTTCTCCTGAAAACAGTGCTGCTTTACCGGATAAAAACGAATATCATGTTTTCAATCTATGATTAAACTGATACGAATGCAATAAAATGACGAGTTTTCCAATAACTGAGTGCGTTATGAAATTGTTTTGTTATATCCAACGTTAATATTAGTTATGAGTAAGCTTGCACTTACCTAAGTACTTATTTATGTACATTGTTATTAATGAACTGTTATCATTATCTTTCGACAACTTCATTGCTTACATTGATTACTTGGTATTATATCTAATCAAGTACTTTAACTAAGGTTCATATAATAACAATTATTGTAAACAATTCTATTAGTTGTTAGTTGATGTATAATAAAACTAAATCTTAAGTTCTATTGGCTTAAACTTTGTGATAAGTATACTAAAAATTCGTCTGGATATTTAAGATTTAACTCGTCGAGTCATTATAGACACAATTATAGAACAATAGGTTGCGGTCACCGGTGACCGCTTGGTGTTTGACAGTTTAATCGAGAAACTGTCTCGTTCTCGATGTTTCGAGCGAGTAGTCTAAGTGTGAATATCGATATCAGAGCCTAGAGGTAGCAAAAAAGTTTGGAAATTCTCTGTAAATTAAATGCATAGTTTGGTTCCCGTTCAAAACAATGACATGAAAAGCATACCTAGTTTCGGAGAATAGGGTAGATGCATAATTTTTGTTTTACTGCCTGTCTGCTAGATTATTTTTAAATCATTAGACACGTATTTTTTATTTTCTTACAGAAACGAATACTTTCAACGATATATTGATTTGAAATGTCGCGTGACGTCACTTCTATGTACATTTTATACGTAGAAATGACGTTTTAGCCCCCACTCCTAAACTTTGATTCGTTTTATCAAAGTATTGTTTTATTACACGACAAAATAAAAAAATATGTGTCTTATATTTTTTCATTACATAACTTATGGACTAATTAGATTTTTTATTTTTATACCCTGTCATCATCCCAATTGATTGCTTGTAGTTGGTACCTACTTAAACCATCGGTAGACGGACAAACAGGAAAGTGAAATTTTAGGTATTTACAGAGATAGTTCCGTAGAACTTCAATATGTACTTACCTATAATGAGTAGGTATAACACATTAGGTAGCAACTTATTGCTAATCACTGGAAATAATGGCTGAACATCTGTTTTCCTCTGACGTTGATTAAAAATTGTTCAGAAGTTTGCCAGCCGGGGCGTGTTATGGTTCTCACGTGTTTTACCATAACATTACGTTATGTAATTTACATTAACAAATAAGATTATGGCACTGAATGTGTGCTCCTTTAGTAATTTACCAAGTGAATGAATAAATTCAGACTTTTATGTTCTGATGTATTGACTGAGGTGGCGGATTGTCGATATTGCTTGAATTGGAAAAAGTATGAGAATTTTATAACAGAGTCTAAAATTTGGGCTTAAAGAATTATTCGCAGTACCTACCTATACTAAGAAATTTTCTACTTTTCCTCTGAAATGCTGTCTAGGTTATCCTAATTTCAAACATTATACTTTATTATAAGTAAGGCCACTTCCATAAGATTAATCGACTAGTCAACCTAAATCATGTTCTACGTACTTAACAACAACCTTTCGGGTCTCAATTTAGGCTACCTCTACATACTATTGTCCAAATCGAAACCCTTGGCAAAAACCTGACCCGAGAACAGAATACCCGTGTCCCTGCCCTAATAAGAGAAAAAGCAACCAGGCAATATTCTGGTAAAATGATATTTAAACCCCGGCAACCCTAAACCAACCGTGACCTTGATGTGTACCGAAAATCTGGGTCGAGCTTTTTCCTCGAGGATAAAAAATATAACAAAAGGGCTCTATGTCATTATTTATCAATATAAATTATGTTTGAGCAGCGACTCTGAAATTGTTAGGTACAAGTAATGCGTCCGTGAGTTATTTATTGTCTCTTATTGTTTCAGATCCGCGCACGACAATATAAAGAAAACTAAAGTTGCCATCAAGAAAATATCACCGTTTGAGCACCAGACTTATTGTCAGAGGACGCTAAGGGAAATCAAAATCTTGACTCGGTTTAAGCATGAAAATGTAAGTTTTATATTCGCGTATTAATTTATATTCCATCACTAAGCTAAGATTAAGATACGTGATATTGAGGATAAGCATGTACCTGTTTGAACGTGATAATGTCTTCAATTAGTTAGATACCAGTGAAGTTGGAAATAAGGAGTGCAGGAAAGTCTTCATTTGTTTTTATTTTATCATAACATACTACTTCGTTGGCCGAGTGGTCGCAAGTACGATTGTCGGGCAAGGCGTGTCGGGAAAAGTATTACTGGGTTTTTAAAAAAAAAACTCAGTAGTAGCACGGAGTCTGGAAATGTGCCCGGTATATGGCAATAGGCTCACACCCTATTACATGGGACTCATAACGTAAATAGTGAAAAGTGGGTGTTCCTTCTGTGTGCACCTCTGCCTACCCCTTCGGGGAAAAAGGCGTGATATTATATGTTATGTTTATCATAACATTATGTAACAATAGGGATTTCTTTGTTTTAATATTATTGTTCTTCCGCAGATAATCGACATCCGAGACATTTTAAGGGCTGAAACCATAGACTCAATGAAGGATGTTTACATCGTACAATGTTTAATGGAAACAGACCTTTACAAATTGTTAAAAACACAGGTAAGTAACAGCCGTCGAACTTTGCCGAACAACTTTATCAGCATAAGAGTAATTAATTAAAATTACATTTGTTTCGAACTCTTAATAGAATTAATTTATTTAATTAACACATCAAAATATTCAATTAATTAGTCCCGCTCCAGATGGTATCTATAGAAATAATTTGTTAAGAGCGTCTCCCTAAAATTTCTTAGCCGCTCTGAATCGGAATAGTCTGAAGTTGTTAACAAGGGTATCGTTGTCTCTTTCTGTCCTCATTGTTCGATGTTACTTACGTCTTACTCTTTAATAGAATAACTTCAGAGTGGATATTTGATTTTTACAACAATTACTGCAATTTCTCTCAACTCGCCGAGTGGTCGCAAGTGCGAGGCAATGGGTCTCGGGTCCGATTCCCGGATCGAGCAAATTATTAATGGGTTCTTTAAAAAAAATCTCAGTGGTAGCACGAAGTCTGGAAATATACCCGGTATGTGGTAGGACTCGTAGCATAAATAGTGAAAAGTGAGTGTTAGATTGTACAGTGGCATTAAGTGCCGTAATGTGCACCTCTGTCTACACCTTCGGAGATAAAAGGCGTGACGATGAGATTATTACATATTATTTTGTAATAAAGTCAACAGTTCTTGAGTAAAATAGGTTTTAAATGAACAATTTTGTTTTAGAAACTAAGCAACGATCACATCTGTTACTTCCTGTATCAAATCCTCCGCGGGCTGAAGTACATACACTCGGCAAATGTTCTGCACAGAGACTTGAAGCCTTCCAACTTGCTACTTAACACAACGTGTGATTTGAAGGTAAGTTATTAATACTCTATGACGTATGATTATGGACAGTAACATGTATAATCGATCCTGCAGCTGTAGCCAAATGCCATTTAGCGCTTGTCTACATGTAGAATAGAAAACCAAATTATATGGGATTGACGTAAATTTTGACACTCGTCAGTGTCTCTCTGTAGACAAGCGCTAAAGTGGCGTTTGGCTAAAGGCACTGAACTGAGAACCTTTTTAGACTATTTTCGGTAGCCACAAAGATTAAGACCCTTCAGATTGATCAGAACACCTGCCACACATCAAGTCGGTAGGTTTTCAAACTTTTTAATTTTGGCATTGATATTAATAGGCTCGCATCTTTACGTGATTAGCTTTAATCACATACGTATGTCTAACCAAATTCGCTTGTTAGACATGTTTATACACAATTAGTTATTGCGAGGAATTTATTTATACCTGAGAAATCCAATGATTGTTCTTAACAAACTTCATCTGAAACGTAATTTCATTAAAATTCCGTAACAATAACTTCGTTCGTGCCTGAATCACGTTGTAAAGGTACTTTTGAACTTTATAAAGGCTGGCGTGGAATTACGCAAATAGTAATCTTAATAGAAAACACGATTTTGCGGTTTAAGACAAAGAAAAGATTTTATACGACTTGTGGGATTTTTCTTAAAGGCGGTAATAGTCATATAATTCTAGTCACTTGAATGTACATTCCTGTTCTTTCTCTCAATTATCTCGTCTCTACGTTTCGTGGTTTCGGCGTAACGCTTTGCTGACTATTCCCTCTTTTCCCACATGGACATTTAAAGAAATATTGCTCCCTTTTTACTTAGTACTTACCTACTGAGAGGAATGAAAGGCGCATAGGGAGCCCCCTTGCCGTATAGTGGCATGCCGCATGATCACAGCTAATAAAACTCTTTAGATGAGACTTAGCAACATCCGTATCTTCTTCTTGCTACTATTATTAATGCGAAAGTGTGAGTTGGTGTCTTTTTTTGTTACCCAATCACGTCAAAACGGCTGAATTTTTTTTTTAATTTGAAATGGGGGTGGATTATGGTTTGGAATACCACATAAAGTAATTTTTAGCCCATAGAACGCGAGCGGAGCCGCGGGCAGATGCTAGTATTGCATAATGAAATAATAATATACGTCTGTTCAGTACAGACAATACACGTTTACCAGTATACTAGGCATGTAGTCAGGAATAACTAAGAACAAAACCACGGATATTCGTATTGTCATTCAGTTAGAACTCGGCATTATTGCAAAGCCATGCCGACCGCAGTATTGTGGTCTATGCATTGTAATGTCATCATTTATACCCCACGTAGACGCAATATGACGTATGTACATACACCCCTCTACAAGCGAGAGTTTTGTTGTGAAGTTTCTAAATGGGCTTGATCATATTAGATATTGATTTTGCTACAAATTACTGGGTTTATAAAAAGGTATTCCTTAGTAGGTTAATTTTTGGCAATTCCAAACTGCTTTTAAAATAAGTTTGAACTATTTCATGGCGTATATTGAACACATATGAAATGAGGTTGCCATACGTAAGCTTTTTATTTATTATTTTATATCCGGAATACAGCAAATGTTTGGAAAAAAGAAAAACTGGTGTACGTGACGTACACTCAAGAAATATTTGTACTCACTATAGCTTGTAAATTGCTATTTACATTGACACCGTTCAAATTTCAAAGTTCGTGTCCCAGTGTTCCGTTCTGTGTTGCCGGCACAGAATTTAATAAAAATATCAGACTTGTAAAGGGACTATTGAATTAGATGTTTTGAATATTTTGACCACTTTTCTATGTGTATTCGTGTTGTAGGTAAATTTCTTTCCACAGACTTAACGTTTTTGGAAAATACTGGATTCCTCTCAGTAAATATTCCGACACTCGTTCAAGTGTCGTGTTCATCCATAGTGATCGTACTTGATTTTTCATTACAACTATGTTCGTGGAAATCCTTTTTTATAAGTGTTTCAAGGAAATTCTATCATCCACTAAAACCTTATTTTTTTGTCTTTTATCTGAGCTTATTTTTAGACGTAAAACGAGATAAACTTAGGACAGAAGCGAAAAGAATTAGTTTCCTTATGTTTCGTAACGATTAGCGTTAACATAAATGTATTGGTTTAAGCGTTTCCGTTTTTATATTTCATTCCTCTTTCTTACGTTTTACTCTGTTCTCGTAAGTGTAATATTATTGAAGAAAGAAATACACTTCAAATGACGAAATTATAAGCCAAACAAATGTTTTTATAATAACTACCGTAAGACATACTAAATTAATTAAAAATTCCGGTTTACTCACGTTAAATAATGAGAAAAGCTGTCAGAGGTTGCACGACGTTGCCGCGTTCGCGCACGCTGCTCAAGAGTCCCTTTGTGACTCGAAACTAGTAAGGCTAAAATAATCAAGCAATACAAATGTTTACGATTTTAATTAACATTCTATCATTTACCCTAAATATTTTAACGAATACTAACAACTGGGGAAATATTTAGTTTTTATTTCGCTGAAGGAATTTGCAACATACAACACCGGGGCAAATGCCTTCAGCGGATGTGTTAGTGTAGCATAGATTTCTGCAAAATAACGCCTGGCTCTATTCTATATATTTTGAGTAATATCAACCATGGACGTGACATCCCCTCCCGGCAGCCCCACAGTCGCATCCAACCCCTAGCCCATCAAATCCATTATACCAACGCCTCAGAACTCGTAATCATTACACAGATGTGCTTAAGTCTTATGGTTTCCCTTTTACGAGCCATATTAAAAGCTTGCGTGTCTAATAAAATGAGATTTGCATAGCACTTTGAATTCTCAATTAATTGTCACGAAATTATTGTTAAGTAATGTGGGGAACTGGGTACTAATATAATTATACTTATAATGGAATAGAGTATTAGTAACAGGGGCGTGCACAGAGATTTGAAGTAGGGTAGGCAGAAGGTATCACATGATTAAAAAAATTTGGTCTACATTAATCTCGGAAAATAAAACTCCCGAAACATCATAATTTTGAGTAAGTAATTAGGTTTAGTAAGTATTTTATTAATTTGTATAAACAAATTAGGTACATAATTATTTTCAAACTATCCGTGTATAAAGTTGATCAACATAGATACCTAGGTACCTATCTATTTTACAAATCTATTCTAGGTACCTACTTTGGAGCGGCGAAATACAAATGGTTACACATCAAGCTATGCGACACCAGTATAAACTGAGCGTTAAATGCATAGAAAAATCGTACAAAGCGAGATTAAGATGACTGGATTTTAAAAACATTAATGAAATTGGTACACAACCAGTGCTAACAAAACAAACTATACCTATAATCGCAAATCGTAGTTTATTAAAAGAAATAATAAAATTATTACCTTTTTTGAGTTACGCCTAGCCCGGACATACAACACACGCAAAATCGACTTTGGAAATATTTTCGTTTCTTCTTCGAACGACAATAAGGACAACGCACTCATTTTTTATTTATTGAACAACACAAATTACCAGCACAGAGCTCACAGCTATAATTTTACATAATTCTCGGTAAATTAACAGTTCATTTAAATTATAATTCATTACATTACAATTTATTCACTTGCACATAAAAACATAACCAAAACAAAATGGCCAAAAAAAAACGTAAACAATAAGTTGACCAAAATTAATTTATCTATTTTCAATCAACAAACGCTACGTTTTGTTGACTTCTTAAATTAGTCGGATAACGAAGAAGCAGTGCTTTTGCAGTTGTATAGAAATTACCAACCTAACAAAAAAAAAATCCAACATCAGCACGAGAAAACAAGCAAATTGTACCGGCTACGCATTAGTACATGCTTCCGCCACCATCACACAATAGCGAGGTGGCGGCGCCACTGGCGCAATGCTTCAATATATCGAAGAAAGTAGAAAGTGGTTGTAGTACTTCAATATTTTTTCGATAGATGGCGTTAGTGACAAGTTTTTCAAATTAAGTATCAATAAAATTACGAAATCTCTGTATGATGCCAGTAAATATTCATGTCGTGTTTATGAGTGACACTATGTATTTGACTATGTAGGTTTACCATGATTTTGTAGGGTATGCAGTGCTTATTTGCATGTATGGTGTGCACGCCACTGATTAGTAAGTTTAACTCGTACCGAGACACATTATAAGCTTTAATAGTGTATTGCCTGTTTTCAACAAGCTTTACGAAATATACCTAATATACGAAATGAACCTGACGGGTTACCGGGGCTCCGGCTCGAAGTGCAGGAGTAGGAACGGGGTGGTTTTTAGTCAGTTAGAGTCTGACACTCCATCTCGCCTCACCCAGGCGGGAGCAGTCATTCGATGATTTTCCCCCTGTAAAAAAAAGCTAAGATTCTTCACCAATCTATATGTGACACCTTAACTTAGTAACTTTTAGTTAAGAGATTGATTAGGGATGGTTGATAAAAACGGCCATTATATTGCTAGACTCTTAAGTCTTGACAAACAAGGCATTCAAACATATTATTATACGTGCACGCTAACAATGTTATATAAGAAAACAGTCAAATCCGTTCAGCAGTTTTTGATTTCATATCGTTCAGACAGACAAACAAACGCTAAGAGAGTTATTGTTACGTCTTCAATTCTTACCTTAAATTAACTTACCGAATTTGTGTTGTTCGATTTTCCAAGTAAAAGTAATAATATTAACTGAGTAAAAAAAGGTGGATTTTATCATTATTTTGTTACCGGCTCCCGTAGTCTTTGTTTGCTATACAATTCACTTTTCCTCGGGATGTCGGAAAAGACGCAAGGGACGCGTTTCGAGAGAATACCTATGAATATTTTATATAGGTACTACTGCTACTGATAATAATATACCCAGTATTATAAATCCCTTGGCGTGCCCGATGGTGGTAATAAATATTTTTGTTTAATTTGTGGCCTCTCAAAGGACTGTTAATATTTATGGGATACAAGCAACGGTTTGTTCTGTATAAATTTCCATCAGCTGAACTCAAATGCTGAATGCTGTTTCTTCAGTTTCACGAGGAATTTGAAAGGAAGAAATTTGGAATTTTAACCGTCATGTATCATTAAATTGTACATTAACTCGTATATCCCCAAGCGGTCACCGGTGACCGCTCTTCACTAACTATATTATATACCTTATTTCCGATGTTTAGAGACTACTTTTGTATGAACAAATTTAGGGGATGATTTTCAACAGGCTTGTGATTTTACTTTTAAACTCATGAGAAATATTTGTCAACAGATTTGCGACTTCGGTCTGGCACGTGTAGCTGATCCAGATCATGACCACACTGGCTTCCTTACCGAATACGTGGCGACTCGGTGGTACAGGGCGCCGGAGATTATGCTTAATTCCAAGGTACGTAGATTCAAACTTCATTGACAAGTTTTTCACTATTCAGTAGCTCTATTTTAAACAGATTCCTAAACTTCATGATCGATATGACCAAACCGCAGCTCGGTTCACCAAATCCTTTGTAGCAGAAACAACAAATCATTACCAACCTAAATAGTATTTCGACTGTTTTATGCGATAACGGGAGCTTTGAACGATAAAATACCCCAAATATAGTAGAACATTTCAATTTATGTTTGTAATATATTGCGGTAGTCAAAACCATCTCGGTGTTTGAGCCGTTTTGATAATACTCTATTTTAGACAACAAAAGGCAGTGATCACAGATGAATCCAAACTGTCTGCTGTGCCTCCGACCTTTTGGCTATTGACGGACTGGGAACAATACAACGTCTTTATTGTAAGGTTCCGTTCCCCGTCTATATGTTCCCGTCATTATTCCCCGCCATTTTATGAAGCCTCTTCAGGCAATCGCGCTTTGTGAAATAACCAAAAGATAGCTAATTCACGAATATTATCATAATGTATGTCGTTAAGTGTCTTCTAAAAATCTATCTTTAATGTTTTTAGAATATTAATCGAATTCATAATGTTCGCATAGAAACAGAACAGTGTTATTGATAATATTCTATGAGCTGTGAATTATTTATCAGTGAAAATAAATTATTAATATTTAGTCTTATTTGTTTTATTATTCGAGAAATGGACATTTCTAGGAATTGTAATAGAATAGTGCTCTTTTTGAAATATTAGGCGTACGATTCCAGCATACTATCTGTGTTATTTGTCTACGAAATGTATTTCGTGCGTGTTCAACTTTCTTGAAACAAATGTGTAGATTTACGCATCAACTACAATACATTCTTACATACACAATAATACACATATTGTCTAAAGTATGTACACTAGATCTGGTTAAATAAGATACTTTTCTTTTAAGGAATTGTTGATTGCTAAATGCAGTCGGAGAATACTCCCAGTCCCCGGTTCTCTGGACGACAAAGCTTCTAGAATGGTGTCAGCGTTTTTCTCAAATTATGATCGGTTTAACTGATTCGAAGAGAACGAGATGGAAATTTTCTATCCCAGGGTTTTATCGAAATTTTACAACTTGCAACCACAGAACTAATTTGGTGTTCGAACATTTGAAGTCTAAGAAACGGTTTTATAGTATTATGTCACAGATATAAATATAACAATAATCACCGCTTTTACATATGAATACACTAGTATGAATTATATACCCATATATGATTATTGTGTGTGTTAAACCCGGATTCAGAAACAACATGAGATCCCCATACTTAAGACACCGTTTTCCTTACGATTATGTATTATTATATGTTCTTGATGTTAGCTATTTTCTAGCTTACATTATTGTTTCTGCTTCATATTCATTTAACTATTATTATAAGAGTATTTATTACACACATACATAAAGACAGCTGCACATGTATGCAACTTTTCATAATTCTACAATGACGTAGTGGCTACCTAACTACGCAGAGATATTCCTAATTACATAAAGTTAAACCTAGCTTGTTAATGTTCTAATGAGTTGGGTTTCAATGACTACACAAAATATTGTTTGGAATCTTGTTTTTTTACCAATTACTCAGACAAAGTATTGTTACAAAATAACACAATATGAAAGAGGCAGGTGGGTATCATATCATATACTGCAAACGATTTCGTGGAAATCTAGATCTATTTTCATGTTTTATAGCTACATATTTGTCCACAGGGTTACACCAAATCGATAGACATCTGGTCGGTAGGGTGTATTCTCGCGGAGATGCTGAGCAACCGGCCCATATTCCCGGGCAAGCACTACTTGGACCAGCTGAACCATATCCTCGGTGTGCTCGGCTCGCCTAGCCAGGAGGATCTTGACTGTATTATCAACGAAAAGGTATGTTCACATTTTATGTTTATTTATTTACGTAAGGTAGTTTTCTTCCTTCTTCGAAGTCCCAACCATATGTAAGTATATTTATGTTATAACTTTCGTGAGACATACTAAAGTACTTATTGTTTTTCGGCTTACTCACGTAATTACGCCTTACGCTGCTGTCTCAGCTGACAGTCGCCGCGTCTCGGGTCGCGGAATGCTGCCTCTAGTATGGCTTGAAACTAATCAAGTTCCTCGTCAAATAATTACGTGAGTAAGCTGAAAAACAGATTAATTAATTTCATATGTAAGTACAGAAAATTTTAAAAAGTTCTACTACGCTTAACTCGTCGAGTACCGTCATTATAGACACAATTATAGAACAATAGGTTGCGGTCACCGGTGACCGCTTGGTGTTTGACAGTTTAATGTGGAAACAAGTAAACAAACCTGCCTAGTTTTACATTTATAATACTAGTTGAGCTATGCTTTAAGCAACAAAGATTTGTATTAAAGAAGGCGGTCCAATGTAAAGTCCTGTTTGTCATAAACTATACATCTCTTTGCCTTTGTACTCTCCCATTGTTTGTTGTCGACTTCACAACAATTTATGAGGAAGCTCATGTTATGCTTAACTTTACCAAGATGCATTGTAGAAGGATTAAAAAAAACATTTATTAACATACAACAACAATCACAAAGTTACAAAGGACAATAAAAATAACAATAAGAAATGCACTGAGAATGTTCACACTAAAAGGGGAGCTCTGTATTTGCTTGGCTAAAACGATGAGAATGTTTTGTTTTTATATTTTTATGTATGTATCTTTCTTTCTTGATTGCAGTGTCTATCAAAAAATACATTTTCAACTTAAAGAAATTTAAACAGACAATAAATAGTACATAGTGTAACTCGAATTATACATATAGACTAGTAACAATAATCAAGGAAAAGAATCCGAGGTCTTTGAAAAAGTAATAAAACCTCTATTTTCCGGCAAAATTTCACGCCATCGATATTGCGGGCATTAGTCAGGGGAAAGTAAACGTAGGTACAGAACTTGTGTCAACGCGACAAGCTCGTGAAATTGGCTCGTGTTCAAACCTTTCGGTCAATGTGTACTTAGGTCCCTCTCTATACACGTGAATTCGGCTATACGTACGTACCAAGAACAAACGCCAGCAGGTTAACTGAGTCCAACCGGTCTTTCTTTATTAGATTTTCAATTTTATAAGAATTAACTTAAAAATCCTCGTACAAAAAAGCAAAATGTTACAATTAAAACCATATTTGCCCTCATAATTATGAGCTCCGCTCGTCATTTGAAACTAGTAGAGAATCCTCGAAAAGTTACGTGAGAACCTTAATCGTATAGTTCAATTATTTCAGAACATAAATGTACCTTACTAATATCATTTCCCTAACGTTAGAATAAATTATTTTTAAATAGTCGTTACGTTTTATAGTGCAGGTGTACCCCCGTCCGTAGGTAACAGCACAAATACGTGGACAAACATCACCTTTGTTTTGTTTAGTGTTGTAGTCAAAACATCAAACAAAGTCACATGTGTGGCTTGCAATTTGTGACCGGCCATTGTTTATTCGTACCGAGTAAATACATGTAGGACTAGCTTCTGCCAGCGGCTTCGCCCGCGATCCCAGGGGGAAAATTTCATTCTGGTCCCTGGAGTAACTTCTCTCGTAATGAAAAGTATACTATAACCTGCCCAAGAGTATGAAGAATAATTGTGCCAAATTTCGTTAAAATCCGTCGAGTAGTTTTTGTTTCCATAACGAACATACAGACAGACAGACAGACAGACAAAAATTTTACTGATTGCATTTTTGGCATCAGTAGCGATCCCTAACCACCCCTTGATAGTTATTTTTTTTAAATATTTTATGTACAGAATTGACCTCTCTACAGATTTATTATAAGTATAGATGATATAGGTACCGGACCTGCATTTAGATAGTCACCTATCTCTCCTTTTATGATTTTGGGACTATTATTAGACAGTAGGTGCATTTTTTGATAGAAGAACTCAAGGAATATTCTTTGTAAAAGATTAACTGTTTTTTATTCTATCGTGCAAATAACTAAAAGGTTTTTTTTATTGATATAAATTACTACGGTACCTACTGTTAACGTTTTTTCGTTTATTTTAAAATGATTTAATATTTACTCCAGTACCTTTTATTCTAGCTAGTCCATACCAAGTGGAGAAAGGCTATCGATCTTTACTTATTCACATTGTCTCCTAGATTTCGGGCTCAGTCAATCGGGCAATCGGGAAAACTTTACGGTTCCTTCTTGGTACACGTTCCTGAATAAGATATGAACTTTGACCATAGATTCAATTTAAGTCGGTCGCCACGAGTTTTCTTAATGGCGGTGCCCCTTTTTGTGGTGATCCTACTCGATAGTTTCGTCGAATTTTTACCGAATTCAATGATTTTTGTTTTTTGTTAAAGGCCCTTATTGTACTTGGAAACGGCTTTTATGTGTTGGGTCTGAAAATAACTAGATGTGAGAATAGAGATGTTAAAAATCTCGACCGTATTTTGTTCGATGTTTTAATTTTGTTCTACTCATATCGAATTCAGATTGGAAATGTTTTGTGATTTGTTAAGATGTGGCAAATTACACATGATTTTTTAACATAGCAAATAAGAAATATGTTTAATTTAAAATGCTAAATAAAACTCCGTTTCTCTAGGCTCGAGGCTACTTGGAGTCTTTGCCGTATAAGCCTCGGGTGCCATGGGCGGAGCTCTTCCCGGGCGCCGATCCTCGCGCACTCGACCTGCTTCACCGCATGTTAACCTTCAACCCACACAAGCGCATCACCGTCGAGGAGGCGCTTGCGCACCCCTACCTCGAACAGTACTATGACCCCAACGATGAGGTATGATTTGTGCAAACTAGTATTCTAAACACAATTTATTAATATTTTCTATGTATAGTTAATTTTATTTTTACCTTTTGATTTTCAAAACTTTTGTTTTCGTCAGCAACTTGATTAAACTGCAAATTGTCTAGTATTAATTCAAACAGACTGAACACATTCTCCTAATTGAGTACACAATTGTGTTCTGTAAAGAAAATTAGTTACGCAGTCGAACAACGTTCAAAGGCGAATTTTAATTACAGCCCGTGGCGGAGGAACCGTTCCGATTCGCGATGGAACTCGACGACCTTCCCAAAGAGACACTCAAGAAGTATATCTTTGAGGAGACCTTACTATTCAAGAAACTCAACGAAGACGCGTAGACGAGGTGTCGCCGGTCGTCGCCTCGGCCGAGGGGAGGTTCGTCGCATGCGAGCTCTGTGCTCCGACCGCGGGCTCATGGTGGCCGTCACACGTCACGCCATCGCTGCATACATTGCATCATCGATACATATATCTTATCTACCGTGCTTTGCGATTAACCCAGTAACAAATAATTCCTAAGAATATTTGTTGAATGTTGTAACTTTAAGGATAACATAATGTTTATTATTACGATAACAGGAAAATTTGCGGAATACAGAACTCGCATGCAAATGTGACGCAACCCAGGTCTAATTATGTGGATATGATGATGTGGCTTCAAGTTATTCATCGACCGTGGTTGTAAGCCAAAGGTGAATAGTTTACCATCGTGTCGTTTTACGTTAATTTTTGTATGCGAATTTGTGAACTCGCTAGGGCGTGAGAACTGGGTTCTTATATTTTTTCAATGAAATATATTTAACGGAACTGGAATTATTACTTAGTTGTTATAACATAATAACACATCAACATCGATCAAGTTTTGGATAAGATTAAATTTGTGGTTTATTAGGTAGGTACCCGGTTTTCACGCTCTTTAATATACAACATTGTGGTCTTGGAGCGAAGAACTGTTAGAACGTTATCATTTTGCAAGTGACATGTAATAATTCAGAGCCAAGGTCACCGGGCACTGTTGACTATTTCTCAAATGATTTTACCGTAATATTGCCGCATTGCGGGTTACGAAAATACACTACCACATCTTAAGCATTACTTCGCTTCACGAACATAATGTTTTGTGCGCTGCAATGCTTCATGACCCCTATTTTTCGGTCAGTGAACGGAGAACGTGTCTCGACTCTGAGCCTAACTTTAAAAAAAGAACGATAAAATCCAAATGTTTGTATTCTACGCTGAAACGGGGCTTTCAAAGCGCAGTCTCTACTTTTAATTTCTTAGGCATAGTCGCTATCAAAAGCGAACGATAAAGTATTTTTGTGGCGGTATAATGCATAATAATAATTTTCTTATTTTAAAACTGCCAAAATATATAATAAAAATTATGATTCGTCGCTTCGTTATTATGATTCAAATATTCGGAAACTTGACGTCTGAACGTAGATTTGTGTTCTGAAATATCGTATCGGTATGATTGGTCAGAGAGTTCAGAGTAGTCGTAATAGGTATATATTAATGCGTAGCAAACTTATAGTATACTAGATAGGTCTTTTCTGAAATTTATAAACGTTAAACATACCTAGTCGTACAAGTTGTAAATTGTGATGCTCGATCATTGTGTTGACGGGGATCGATGTCATCGTAGGTATTCTGCAGTATTACAGTGTCGATATGAGACGTATGAGGTACCGACGACACTCGCGATGGGGCCGCGCGCTCGCATCGCGACATCTATCGGATGGAAGTGGATCCAGAGTGGCATTCAGAGTTTGTATTGAAGCGTGTCAAGTGACGCGTACCAGACTGCTGGAGCGTTACAGCACGTCACAGTGCGCGGAGAAACGATGTAAATGTTTGGCGCGAACATTGCGCGCGGATAGCGTGGACAGCTAGCGGTGCCGGTGTTGGACAGCCGATGTAAATATTTTTACATTTCGACTTAATGTATTTTAAAGTGTCACCGAATAATAATTTCAAGCACCACGTTATTATTCATCAATTCTAATGTGATTTACTTACGAATAAATGTACTTTCTCTTTAGATCGAGGTGTTCGTTGGAAAACTTGCGTTTCAATGATTTTGTAATAATAATTATCGTCTTCCTTGTATTTGCATGTTAGCGCACAAGATAATTTTAGAATAGTTATTCTTCATATCAGATATTTTAAAGAGATGTTTATAGATTAAAATTAAGTTGATTGTGCGATGAATAATGTGGTCGCCGTATCAAGTTTTTCAACGAACGAGTGCGGGCGAGACCGCGCGCCGCGACCGGCTTGCGGCGGGTCGCGACTATTGTTACACTTCGTTATTGTCTATAAGATGTTGTTAGGACGAGTCCACGTAGTGTCGGATACTGTGCGGTTCTCACTACAGTTTGGCCGTCAATCTACTTCTCTACTAAGACTTGAATACCGTTGTTTGTTGAAAGTATTACGGAGAACTTTAGCTGCTAAACTTTTTTCATTTAATTTTATATAACAGTCGAAAGTTGTTCGTTGGACGAGGACATGTTGTAGATCTCAAGATCTTGCTATACGTACTATAAATAAAATAACAAATAAATTGTGTTGTATATTATAAAATCATCGCTTCGCGCGGTTGTGGCTATGTTCACGGGGAGGCTGCGGCAGGTGCGTTAACGTTTGAATTATTAATGGGAAATGTGGAGCATGACGGCACTTGATATAATCAAAACAGTTCGACCACGAACAATAATGGCGGTTGACGCAAAATTCAATTTGAAAGGGAAATAGTGCAGCGCCTGCGGCTCGCCACCGTGAGCGTAGTGACAGCTCCATCAGGATAGTGCCGCATTTATTGTACCATCAACATGATATCGAGTGTTCTTTTAATCTAAAACCAAATAAAGTACCTTGTTTGCGAGGCAATAAGTCTATTTGTACAGTTCTTTTTCTAATTTCATTTTCAACGTAAGGAATGCTTTGGAATATGTAATATCAACTGTATTTTTAGATCATACGCCAATGATTTGTAAAAAGACAAGCTTATTTATAGTGGCTAGTGTTTTAACTAAGTGGAAATCGTCTCACTGACTGTCTAAATAACTTGTTAAATGTTTTCATTGTTTAGATTGTACCCTTTATTGTGTCTAGAACAAAGGTATTGTGTATTATTTACAAAGTCTTAGCTACGTCGAATGTTGTGGTACACGAATGTCTAGTGCAATAAACCTCGGATATACGCGACTTTTGACCCACGATCCTTTGTTTCTAGACATGTATGACGCATATTTCAACCATAGTTTAATAAACATAGCAACTTACAGGATCGAGCGAATGAATTTTCCGCAGTAACGTAATGTTATTAAAAATGGTTGCAAATATAATAAAAATAAAACCTATTTCGCCCCATGAAACAAGTTAATGTGGAGTAATGTGGGGAAATAGGCAGTTTGAATGTCTCCAATAACACACGTGACTTCCCTTGCTAGTTAGTTTTCTATACAACCTCTAAAACCATAACACCAGAGTACTAGCGTGTATTTATTGTTAAAATATGAGTGTTGCCATATTTTCTTAAGTCATTATGTACAAATTGGATATTGTAAGATCATTTGTTATCTGTCAACAGTTGAATATTACGAAAATAAATCAAATCAAATGAGGTTACTTGTTTAATTTGTTTTCTTTAATTCCAAACTTTAGATTCCGTCCCTATTGAATCCTCGTTTCTAATTTACAAACAAATATCAACTTTACTGGGGTGCTAATTAAGTTGTTTCGAAAGTAACAATAACATAACATCACGCCATTTATCTCCGGAGGAGTAGGCAGAGGTGCACACAGAAGTAACACCCACTTTTCACTAATTATGTTATGAGTCCCATGTAAGCCTATGAGTAAAAAGTGAGCGAAAGTAACAATTGTTTTAAATAAGGTTAAAAGTTACAGCGAACCTAGAATATAGTAATATCATTCAATATCTGTTTATAAAAATAAATTAGCAAAGGTAAAAAATATGTTTTGAAAACTATTTGTAGGTACTTGTAAGCTTTCATATTAATTAGGGTTGAGCACCGAAGTACCGCAGCGTAGCTCGGGGAGTACACGGTGGATAACGAACGCTTCAGACACGAAAACAAGACTTGTACAATGCGAAGAAATAATTAGAAACCCCCGCTTTTATTACGTAACACAATACCCTTAAGAACAACACCTAATTATTTTTTAATTGAATTATTTTTAAAATAATTTTGCTCGAAATTTGTTTTTGCTTTGCAAACAGAGATTATGTTTCACGATCAACTTTGAGGCTTCTCCGTCAGCAGCTAGATGTCAAACTCCTGAACAAACGTCTTCTTCATCAAGGAGGGGCGAGGGTCGAAATCCCTACGCTTGGCTAACCTACCGGTATGGAAATCTCCAAACGAGCGCGTTCACTCTTCAAGGACCAATCTTGTTGGTATCGATGTTCTCAATACGGAACATACTAAAGAAATAAAGAAGCGTATTTTATTACGCAATTTCTTTTTATCCAACCAAGTACAGTTCAATATCTATTTCCTAAAGTGCAGTTTGCACAATACCTTCGTGGAACGTTTACGCAATAGTTTAAGTAAATAAACTCTATTTTCTCAACAACTTATCTCTCCTTTCCAGAGTAGAAGTAGTTTTTATTAAAAAACGTTATAAACTTCGTTAAACCTAAACTCGATTAGAAACTTAGGGTTGCTAGTCACATCTTCGATACTTGAGTCTGCAACACCGACAGGGTTGTTACCTAACTTGGTTTGTGGCGAAACAAATCTCTTGCTAGCAAGAAACTTAAGGCCTTGTTATTGTCGTCGCCAACCCTAATATTAATAAGCTTTGCCTGTTTCCATACCGTAGGACAATAGCACCTTTGTCGGGTCCTTAGTGGACTTATCTAATACTTTCTTCTATTATTCTACTAGTCCCTCACTTTATTGCATTTTAGGGAATACTTGAATGACTGTTAAAAATATGCTAAATAGATTTTCTTATGAAAAAGTACATTCCTTAAAAATTACCTTTGTATGAGTTGAGCACCAAACCATTGATGTGACTGCACGCACTCTGCTCGCGTGGGAAACGCAAGCTGCGCATTCTTAGATGATGAGAACGCACTCTTAGAAAAACACACTCATCGTAATAACTTCTATTTATAAATTAAAGTCGTACCGAAGTCCTTAGGTACAAAATAGTTATGTAACCCTGTATTTAAGTTACACAAGTGATTAAGTAGTAAACAGTATTAAACGGATATATCCTAAAGTTTTAAGCCTTCCGAAACCAGGCACTCTATTCTCTAATTAATGATCCATAAACTGGTTAAACGCTCAATCAATCTCTGTCTATGATATAGCAAAGTTTTGATACAAGAAAATACTTAATCGAATTATCAACTCAGTTTCCAAGCGGAGCTTAAACGATTCATAATGGGTTAAGTTTCGTAAAACAGTCGCGTTTGTCCTCGCAACAATGAGAAGTACTGTAGATTGTAGCAAGTGTCCTTAATACTTTATAACTATACTATATATACTGCTCCTTCGCAGTACTCGTTTCATTATGAAGCGCGCAATGTACTTAATTGTAAGTAATTTTTCTTTTTGTAGACGTATTACTGAAATTATTTATGATAGTAAGTACTAGTTTGTATGTTATCTTACATTTCTCTCTCTAAAGTCTAACTGTTTAAGCTTTATCAATATGGTCAATATTCAGGTTGTCATTTATTTACATAAAAGCGTAAGTACATAGCTTTGGTACCTACAGATATTTCTGAAAAGCATTTAGTGATACTGAACGTCAAAGTATTTACTCGTATGACGTCCATTAGAGAATTTTAACGTGAAATGAAACGTGTATTTCCCACGCTGGGGCGTAATGCTGGCCATGCGCGTAATTCGTAATTTGAATTTGTGTACCTACGCGCCTATTATTTTTTATTATGGCAATCAGGACTTTTTTGTGTCATATTCTTTTTGGCGGGTTGTTGGCTTGATTTTCATGTTATTTCTGATTCTAACAGATTGTGTTTTTCTCTTTAATGATAACATTTTGTAAAAGGATAAACTCATATGGGTGAAGTATTACCTTAACTAGATAAAAAAACCAAAATAGAAAACTAAAGTTATGTTTTTAAACCTCTGTCACGTGCTATTGGAAAGACTTGTGGCTCAACAGTGGACGAAAAAGGACTGATTATAACAATGAGTTAATCATAAATTATGATGTACCTATGCGTGTTAATATTAATAGTTACCTACTGTAATGTTTGTGTTGCCGGGGCTCCGGCTCGAAGAGCAGAAGTCGGAACAGGGTGGTTTTCAGTCAGTAGGTAAGTGTCTGACACTCCCTCCCGCCTCTCCCAAGGCGAGTGTCATGAGTGGATGAGTTTCTCCCTTCAAAAAAAAGACTGATTTCATTTTGAGTATTCAATAATCATATCATATTTCTTATTAGCGCACGAAAAAAAGAAACTGCCCTATAAATTTCGGACGAAATAATTTGAACGTTTTGGTAGTAGATGATATACCCAGGTGTTTATATTTTTTGCACGTTTCGCTGTATATTAGTTCCGTTATAGTAAGTAGTATAAGTATTCATAGACTTCGCTCGGTACCTACGTCATATTGAATTCCAGAATCATATATTGAATAGTTTTTTAACTCGTCGAGTACCGGTTTTGTAGACACAATTATAGAACAATAGGTTGCGGTCACCGGTGACCGCTTGGTGTTTGACAGTTTAATGTAGAGAATAAAGACAATGGTACGCCAATTTATTGTCAGCACTCCCTTTAACTTCCGCATCCGTAATCATGTTTCATTAATTTAGGCATGTTTGATTTTGGATAACAACAGATCTACAATGTAGTAGGTATCTTCCTATATCAAACAAAACTGAGATGAGGTAGGGATTTCACAAGATTACTTGTTTGGATCAGATCAAAACAAGTTCAATTAGGTGAAACTCTTGTCTTATTGAAAAACAGGATAATTATAGAAAGGGTGAGCCAACACAGCCAGCAGCAAGTATCAGTTACTTAGAGACACGCCTTTTTATAAAGGCACTAAATAAATAAACAGGTTCAAACAAGATAAACATACTTGCAGAATTTGTTTCGGATTAATATACTATACTATACTAGATGTCGCGGAGAACCTAACGGGTTACCGGGGCTCCGGCTCGACGTGCAGGAGAAGGAACGGGGTGGTTTTTAGTTAAGAGTTTGGCACTCCCTCCTGCCTCACCCAGGCGGGAGCAGTCATTCGATGATTTTCCCCCCTTTACTCTTTGAGTACCGTCTTTGTAGACAAAATTATAGAACAATAGGTTGCGGTCACCGGTGACCGCTTGGTGTTTGACAATTATAAAAAAATACTATACTAAATAGGTCTATTTATAATAAATAGGTCTATTTTATTTCGTAAAACGTTTTTCCAATTAAAGTAACCTACGTAGGTACCGTGTATCTAAATCCCGGCAATCTATAGCCAGCTTAGACCTCAATTCATCTCCGTCGTAATAAATGGAAAATTCAGATTGGAAATTGTATTTCGGCCAAAACTGACAACTCTTGCCAGAGCAAATATTTCCCGCGTTGAATGCCAATCATCGATTCATCATGAATTGACATTCGATTACATGGAAGTACCTGTATACTACGTTTTCCCTCGATGTTGTGTACTTATTTGTTTTGTTTACAAGAAGTACGCAATTCATTGTTGAGTTGTAAAAGTATATGTCTTGTCGCGTAGTTTAATTTGAAATTTAAGTTTTGTATTAAATTAAGTTTTGTGCCGCGATAAGAATATAGTTTATATCAAAGTGTCAAGCTATTTCTCTTTTAGAAATGAGTACAAAAGCTAGTGACTCTGAGAATGAGTAGTTAACATACATTTATTAGTTTGCAAAAGTTTCCGGAGATATTTTACAGAGATGATAGCGTGTGTAGGCACATGGCCAATTCGTACAGTGCCCTTGATTTATTATCTAAGTGGTCTCTCACGACGCCCGCGAGACGTGATCCGAGTAACCTTATTCGCAACCACGGCCGGCAAATATATGTGCACTCACCCTACACATATTGCTCCGACCGAACGTTATTACATTTTAAAGCTCTGCAAACCGACAAACTAATTGATACCGCTCTGCAATTTTATCGCAAACAATACAACCAGTTTCCAATTCCGGTGTCCCAATGGAATGCAACAGAAGCCAGATATACGTGTTTGTTTAAAACCACACTTTCAATATCTGTCGGATATAAATAATCCTCATATTTCCCCTTGGGAGTGAAATAGTTTTCACACTCGGATTGCATTTTCCAATATCGACGTAATCCGTAGCAACGGCTACGGGCTACGGGCTACGCGCTCCGTAACCTCGTAGCCGAAGCGTAGTAATGCAGTCGTTCCGCTCGGCTTCGTGGTCTTGGAAGCGCTTAGCTTAATTAAAGGCTCACCCACCACGAGTAGTAAATCTAACGTTACGAGGAAAATATCATGAAATGAAAAATCACGTTCAAAACAACGTCGTTGCTTTTGTTCGAATTATAATAGTTTTATCCATTTCATAAAAGGTACTTCCTCTTTCTTTTTAATGTATATTTCCAATTTTTAATAAAACTTCATTCTTTATTT